TGGTTTGGTGTTGTCAGTGTGATGCAGAGATTGTGACATATTTAGAGTTTTCTCAACAGTTCACCTGTCTGATTGGCCGTGGGGAACAAGCTATTTCAGAATCTACTGGTCCTGTCTTGAATGGTGCAAAGCAATTTCCCAGAGGGCAGCAAGGAGAGCAGCCCGTGTTTGGGGTGTGAGGGGTCAATGATGATGTTATGGGCTCGGGACATGCAGCACTGGGATGAAATGTCTTTTATGGAGGGACGAGGAGCCCCGATGATCTTCTCTGCTGTTCTCACCACTCTTCTCACACTCTTAAAGTCTGAGGAGTTGCAGCCTCCACACCACACTAGAATGCTCTCTAAGATTCTTCTGTAGAAGGTTGTGAGGATGGGTAGGGGCAGGTGGGCTCTCCTCATCCTCCACAGGAAGTACATGTGCTTTTGTGCCCTTTTGACCAGGGAGGTGGTGTTTACAGTCCAGGTGAGGTTGTCTGTGATGTGCACCTCCAGGAATTTGGTGCTGCTGACCACCTCTATAGCTGAGCTGTTGATGAGCAGCGCAGCGATGTTGGGCCAGTTCTTCCTGAAGTCAATGATGATCTCCTTTGTCTTCTCCACGTTCAGGATCAGGCTGTTATCTCTGCACCAGTTCACCAGCTGCTCCACCGCCTCTCTGTAGTCCTGGTCGTTGTTGTCTCTGATGAGGCCCACCACCGTAGTGTTGTCTGCAAACTTCACAGTGTGATTGGTGGTGAACCTGGAGACACAGTCATGTGTCATCAAGGACGGAGCAAAGCGAGCAATTAGAGAAGCATGCCCTGGGCAGACTGTGCATGGAAGCCGGAGAGAGAAGGCAGCACTCAAAGTTTTGCCATTTTCGACGATCGTTTGCTTTGCTAAACCTTTCCAATCTTTTTGGCCCTTTCTCTTTTGGAAAACAATGGAAAGATGGTTTATCTACCTGCAGTCAGATATAGTCATTATTAGACACTTGTTGTTTACCCTTCCTGTAATGATGGCATTTGGTCATCAGGTGGGACATCCCGAATGCATGACATCACACAATGCTATCTATTTTTCAACTACTTTTGCATGCTGACTTGATAATAAGCTAGCTATATGCTCTACAGTAGCTGCTGCAACTGCAGATCTGACATTTTTTTAATAAACATTTTTGAGTATTCCCACATTCTGTCTTGCCTTGAATACTTGGTCTTCTGTTCTGAATCGTTACAATATCAGCACAAATGACAGTTTTACCTGCACATATCATTAACACTGAGAAAGTAGACTAGATCAATTTGATTCATCTTAATAATGGTGAAGTTGATCTCTGGGTGACCTAAAAAAAATTATCTTTATTATTTCTGAAACAAAAGTAGCACACATGATCGATTTTTATTTATTTGATTTTTATTTTTACAAATGACCATTTTAAATGCACAGAGCTGCAGTAATGAAGCACTAACAATTCAGCCTATTTGCTAAGTTTTTTCATGTGGGTGGGGTAGCTTCAAATTCATGGTTCAGGAAATGCATGTTGTGTAATATGTCAGAGATAAAGGAAATGAAAGGCAGATATCAGATCTCCGCAGGTTTCTTATTGACAAAGTTTCTTTGGTAAACACGTGAATTTATTTATTTATTTTTTCAGAAATACAGAGTTCAAATACTCCAACATAAGCTTCTCACTAACACCTTTGAGATCATATCTGGAATAACAGCACAACCCATTCAAAAACACATTCAAGAACCAGAATGGACTCCAAACTGCTTTTGTGGATAAGGCCTACATCTAGACTGGATAGTTTCAAGCATTAATTTGGATGCTTCTTTAATTCCCTCTGTCAAAAAAAGAGTGTAAAAAAAAAATACTATTTGGTGGTCGTATGTAAGCTGTTAACTTTAACCAATACATGACATATTGGATACAGTTTTATGTCAGTTTTTGCTGTTAAGAAGTTTTCAACATTTTAAGGAGATAAATTTCACTATCTATCCCTAATTATATTCACAATAGTCATTTTTTTGAGGAGAATACAGAGAAACACTGATTGAAATTGGTGTAACTGATGGTGTAATTGATGTCAGAGGAAACTAAATTTGAAAGCACATTTTCTTATCAGTTTATTGGATCCTGAACTGTGTAATAATAATAATACAAAAACAAGAATGAAAATAATAACAATATAATCATAGGTGGCAATGTGAATAGTGTCACAGTCAGAGATGGGAAGTAACGAAGTACAAATACTTCGTTACTGTACTCAAGTAGATTTTTCTGATATTTTTACTTTACTTTACTACTTATTTTTATGGCGACTTTTTACTTCTACTCCTTACATCTTTACATAAATATCTGTACTTTCTACTCCTTACATTTTAAAAAATTGGCTCGTTACTTTAGTTTTGAATCATTTCAATGGAGTTACCGTTATTATTTTTCACGTCATCAATACCAAATTCAATCTAATTGGATGGGAATCTACGTTGCATTTGACGCACCACTACAAGGTGAATCAACAGATTCGGCGGTATTCATTCGCGGCAAATCATTGCAGCTTGGTGGCGGTGGCGTTAGCATAGTAGTATGGACGACGAGATGATTGAAAATGAACACAACAGAGATCTAGTCCTATTGGCAGACATCCATTTAAAATGTAGGCAACGGCATGAAAAAAGTGGTTTCTACTTTTACTTTTATACTTTAAGTAAATTTACAAGCCTGTACTTTGTTACTTTTACTTAAGTAAAGAAGTTTAATCAGTACTTCCACTTTTACCAGAGTATTTTTTAACACAAGTATCTGTACTTTTACTCAAGTACGGAAAGTGAGTACTTTTGCCATCTCTGGTCACAGTTTTGTGATTTATTTTCAAATGATAAAGCAAACAAAAAATATATTTTTGTTCATACTAGTGAAAAAAAAAAACCACTCCGAAATAGGTTATACTTAGCCTGGGTGCCATTCCGAACTTAGTCCCGCCCACAAAGTTTGAGGTCGGGGAAGTTCGGTCTGGCTCTGCTCCATAGTAGCGCGAGTATTATCGCCCACTGTCAGGCGATCCAATCAAATTGTCAGGGCGGGCTTTATACGATGATGGACAGATGACCAACAGTAACGTAATCAACCAAGTGACCAATGCGCGCTTGGGTGACAACAATAATGGCTGCCGCTGGAGAGTTTAGGTGAGTAGATTCTGCTATTAGGTCTGTTCTAGAAGATATCGACAGCAAATTAATTTTAAAAGAGGAACAGAGAAACGCGATCAAGTCTCATCTTCTTATTATAGGCGTGCAACTGCACGCTTTGATTTTTGTGGACAACAACTATGCCTCGCTTAACATACGAGGCATGTTAAGCGAGCCAATAAGAGCTCTCCGTTGCTCTTATTGGTTGTAGGTCTATCCAATTGAGTGCAGAGGCATTTTTTTTCCTGGTTCGTTCGAAACACGCCCCATAATCACAGCTCTATGGAGCAGTATCAGACTCATATTCTGACTAGAATTGAGTCGGACTACGTCAGGCTAGGTTATACTCCCCCATAACTTCATTTTCCAAATATGTTAGGTATCAATCAACTAAAAATATGCTATAAATTTGTTTTTTTACCAAACTTATTCTTTCCAAACTAATTAAAAATTAGCTATTGTTTATTTTGTATTCCTGTTTATTCACACCTGGGTTGTAGGTAAAAATAAAATACAATGTGGCAAAAGGATTTATATGACTGATCAAAGTAATAGAAGCACGGCAAAGCTTTATCCAGTGTTGTTTAAATAATTTTTATGCTTATTTGAGAATAAATTAAGAGGCTAAATGAATTTGTAGATGTTAAACAGTAAAATATAATGGATAAAAATTCAATAAATGTGATAAAAAAAAAAAGATATTTTCTTGCAACACTCTGAACTTACAGTGGTTGTTTGTTCATATATGGGTAAGAAAAAATAGGTTTAATTTGTATTTTGTGTTCAAGGGGGCCACTAAAAATCATTAAGGGCTAATTATTTCAACCCACGCTCAACACCACAAAAGCAACTGGATTTGCCTTTGAAAAATACACTTGAGGACTGGGAAGGATGAGGGCTACTGATTAAATGGGTTTTAACTGGTAAATCAAGCTTTCTGGTAACAAACCCTTCAGGTGGCGTGATGTAAACCAAGGGGTAACCATAGGTGGAATTGAATCTCACTTGCGGGATCAAGTAAAATGGAAGATTTGTGGTAACATGGGACTGTTTCTCTTGGAAAGGAGTGCAGGATCCAAGCTCTTTGTGATATGAGTATTTTCACTTAAAAAGACCTGTTAATAGAACATATTTGTTCAAAAGGATCATCATCCAAAACCCATGTCTAAATCAAAACAGAATTGCCTCACCACTCATGAAGACAATTTTCTCTTATGGCACCTCATTCCCCCTACATCTAAATCCTATAGAGAGCACATGGGGTAAACTGCAGCGACAAGAAAAAGACAGACAACATACATTAGCTTGGTACAGAGATTGCACAAAAACTAACTTTTGTGGCTTTTTCCACATCTTTACCTGGAGTGCCAAAACATTTGTCTGTGTCTGGAGGTTATGTATGTTGTTATAATTTTCTCCGTTGAAACAAAGGTTAAAAGAAAAAAAAAAGATAAGGCAAATATATCATATGCTCTCCAGGGATGTTGAAATCTGTACAGTTTGATTAAAATGTTTTCACCATAATAAAATGTGCACACTCTTCACAAAAAACAACTGCTTCAAATTCCTTTACAAAGCTCTGTTTACTGCAGGGAAAAGGCCAACTAACTACCATCAGGTTTTCTGTCTTCTCCCTTTCATGGCCTCTTCAACCCCCACCCCTTGTTCTTACACACAAATGCACCAGATCTATCCCTGTCTCACACCCCCACACACACTCACCGATGCACTGACGTTTGCTATGCACCCAGTCGGTGTGTTTCAGCACACATGCACACATAAATGCTTGCACACACAGACTCTGACACACACGAACATTCCTACCCGCTCGGCTGAGACGGTATGTGAAGAAACCACAGGCAGGGAGAGGTGGAGAAGCCCGGGCATCCACTCCTGCTGATTACTGCAGGAGAAAAGAGGAGCAAGGAGGCTGCTGCCAGCTCCTCTCACAACAGCTTTAACACAAATACACACATTTTACAAGAACTGTGAAAGTCACACATAGACGAAAAAGAAAAATTATGCATACATGTGCTCTAAGCTGCAATGACAATGGATAGACCTAAAACTATATCAATAAAAGACCCATCTTAATTTTATCTGGAATATTTTACAAAAACTTAGTATATGAATTGCTTTAGTAAAAAAAATGCCTGAAGCTTTTATTGGTAGCTTAATTTCTCCTCCTTTTTTCTTTAACAATTGTTTAATAATCGATGCTCAATGCCTGCTGAACATTTGTCCAGTCAGACAATTATGAATTACAACCTTAGATATGTTATGCCAACAAGCTCTCACCTATAAAAGGTTTGTAAAATTTCTCAGCTGTCACTGCTAGTAACTGGATACTAGTTTTTCTATTACCATTTGTTCAATGATTTCTTCTATCTCTTTTAAGTTGGAAAACTGTGAAGTTATTTCCCAACAACCTATTACCTTAGTTTTGAGTTTGAGAAATCGAAATATATGACTTCATTGTAAACATATTTCTCAGTCTATTATCACAGCAGTTTACTGACTCCATTGTAAGAAGAGTTAACAGTTCAGTATAAAGTTTTGTTTTCAACCATCAGAAAGCTATATGCCTTCATTTAACTTTGGTCTTGAAGTTCCTGATAAATAAAGACAATATTGCTTTAAGATTTCTTACCAAAGGTCCATCTGAAACATGGTTTGGAAGATGAGTTTTGCACTGCATTAAGAATAATTTTTCTAACATATATATTTATCTGTAAAATTAACATACAATATGGTGCATCAACTGTTGAAAACATTCATAACAGATTTTAAGACCCTTCACAGCAACAATGTTACAATATTTAAATAAACTATCACATTATATTTGATAACTGTAGTTTGTAGTGAAGTTTTATTTTAAAAGGTACAGGAAGCAGATTAAAATTCTATGTTGTTATAATTAGCACCCCATACAGTTACAAGACTAATCTTAATGGACTGAGTATGTTGATATGTTATAAATCAGTTGATGTGTCATTCTTTGAATAAAACTGTTTATGATAATAAAGCTTAACTATAGTATTAAGTGAAATATAAAATATCTTTTGAGACTAGTTTTTCCTCTAATGGTTTAAAAGTTAGTTTCTGCTGTTAATTAAGGAGAGTGATAAAAATATGTTTTTTTGTGTGTTTGAAACTTTTTTCTATGGGGAAACGTTTGGTGTTTGTATGCTTACCTTCTCTCACAGGAAACATGGCAATAAGAAGTAGCATTTCCACATGGACAAAGACTGTTTTACTAAAAAGTGTTCTGGTTCTGTTATGGTTTTTCTTTTCGATGTTCAGTTTTGCTTTGCTCCTTGTTTTCTAGTTTTTTATGGTTTAATTCTTATTTTATTGTGTTCTTTGGTTTTTTTCTCAGTTTCTGTCTTAGTCTTGGTACTGTTATGTTTTCTTTTGAGTGATCAGTTTTGCTTTACTCCATGTTTTATAGTCTTAGTGGTTTAATTACTATTTTGTTGTGTTATCTACTTATTTTCAGTTCTCAGGTTTTTATTTGTTGCCTTCTGCTGCCCTCTTGATTTCTCCTTTTTCCCACGCCCCTTTCCTGTTTCTGCTCTACTCACACCTGCTTCTAATCTCCTCGTTAGCTCCCCCTTTGTTTCAGCCTCCCATAAATACTCTCTCTGTGCAGTTCTTCAGTGCTGGTTCCTCATCAAACTTCCTCCAACTCCGTCTCTCTGAGCCTTCCACCTTTTGGATTTTTGAATTACCTGCCTCTGTTTTCAGTAAACCTTTATTAAATCACCAAGAAATTCACCTTTGCCTTCCTGCCTCTGCTTTTGGGTCAACAATCCACAACCGATCGTGACAGAAAGGATCAATCCTTGATCTGGTATAAAGAAGATCACAATTTTTAGTTACACAGCTTAAGATTTCTTTGGTGACATTATTTACAAAATGTATGTGGCTGTTATATACCCTGGGAGCCCTTTATCCAGCTCTCAAAGCAATTGTACAGTTTGTGCTATTGGCCAAGCTTCTACTAATATACTGCATTTGAATATGCAACATTGGAATCTATTTTGATATGAAGAAAATTTGTATTCTATGCCCGTTATAAATAATACATGTGGGCTGTGGCTAAAATATGTTAGCTTTAAGACATTTTCCTGTCCAATTTAATATTTTATGATGGTATAGTAGCTGCTACATATGTGCCGTAGAGCCTTGAAACCTGTTAGATTATTGGATGCCCTACTTGATTTTACTCTTCAAAGACTGGGAGATCCTGTGACCCAATAGAGAAGATGTTGAGCAGGAAGAGGTGAATACATACTGTATATAACTGGTATGTTTGTTTGTATTTATGCAGTGGGCTGAGTTGTAGTTGTCATATCTTTGTCAATTATACATACGAGCTTCTATATAGATTAGATTACACTCAGTTGCATTATTTATGCTGCCATACCAAAGGATTACAGTCGGAAGGAGCTATCTACTCTACTTTCTACTTTGGGAAAACTTGTTGGGTTAGCTGCAGGTGACCTGTGATCAATCTCACTGATGCATTGTGGTAAGTCCTGTCAATTAGTTATTTCACAAGAGGGTGGTCTTAGAATCTTGTTTTAATTATTACTTTATGTGGTAATTTTTAAAGCACACAAAGCAGATTTGGTAGACAGAAATTTGATTAAAAAGATAAAAGAAAGTTCAGGATTATAAAACTATCTCAAAGTTGCCCCACCACTTGCAGGAGATACCATGAGGACCCACTACAGTGTAAAGAGGATTGGGCAGCAGCCAGAGGTTGAATGTCGCCTTGCTTGGAGGCCTTACCAGATTGACTGACATGAGGAGTAAGTCTGTCTGCCAGGCTTATAGAAGCCTGAGTTTGTGTGTAAGGTTAAGTAATGCCAACTAGAACTAGTTAGGCTCTCCTCGATACACATCCTGGTCTCTGGATCCCAGCTCTGAGAGAGGCGGACTCTTCTACTTTGGAGTGGCTCATAGAAATAGGCAAGGGCTTGGATGAGTGTACTTGTTTCTCCCCAGCTCAGCCATCTTGTGTTGGCGTTGACCAGGGGGGATGAGAGGGTCCCATCCTTGTGCCTTTGGGCAGGGAGGAGGTCTCTGACTGTGCCCCCAGCTCTTAACCTGAGTGATTTTTCATTATTGGAGTACGTGCAAGCCATGGATTGTCAATGATGAATACCATGTTAAAGCATAAGGATGTCCATTGCTTGGCACCAGGATACCCAAAGTTAAAGGTCAATAATCAACTTTTTTGTTGCATTTTTTGACCTTCAGCCACATGAATTGGAAACTTGGGTGAAGAAGGAGGAAGAGTTGCTGCTAAATTGTCCAGAACAAAGAGGAAGACTCGGTAGACCTAAACTGGTAGAGAGGCACATGGGGTAAACTTGCAACACAAAGTATAAGGTAGAATGATCTATGGCCCTTTTTGCTTGCCTTTTACTACCACCAACAACACTTTTTCAGCTACATGTAAAACGCATGAGGTTGACAAGTTTGTCACCTTCCATTTACTCAGATCAAAATGGTGACCCAACATGGCACCTCCCTTTTGGTCCACTGCCCGCTATTTAATTATATAAACTGCTAATTTTAAGCTATGAAAACACTTTCATGTTTTAATATGATGTTATAAAATCCTGGCAGGTTATGTTTTTAGTTGGGGTTTACGATACATCTTTTTCATTTCCAATATGAAACCAATATTGCAGTGTTGAGAATTGTCTGATACCAATATCGACCAATATTATCACAAATCATACATGCTTTTATGTCTTATTTTGTAATTTATAATGTTGGAAAAGGCTTCATCGTTTGATACACTGTGAGTAACTTTATTTAATGAAAACACACTTTGTTTTTTGTACTCAAGGCTTATTGGTTTAATAGTATTTTCCATCTGCTAAGTCTGCCTTGTTATTTGGAGGTTGATTGAAAGTACAGTAAATAGTACAATTTAATTCAATCAATTATAAATACTGTACCTATTGATTTGGTAAGTTTTATTACTCAAACATTTATTTTGAAGAGTGTGCATTACACACAAGTTTTTGCTATGTTATTATCTTTGAATGGATCTCCGTCGTTTAAATAATGACAGCAGCTGTTATTATATGTTTGGGATTTTTTTTTACTTTGATCTCTTTTTGTTTGCCAACCGCCATTACAGCCAACTGATTCTGATTAAAACAAATTTTTGAAATAAATTATTTTGTGTATTTTTTTTACATAACATTTGCATACACAGTAATCTAGCGTACTTTAATTGAATAAATCAATTCAAGCTAAAATGTAAGAGTCTATAATTAGGCTATACTGAGCCTGATCTATTTCTACCATCTATTTGGGGGATATTTATTGCCACACTTTGGGCCACTTAATACCAATTTAGCATGCTGACCTATGTCCTTATGACCACAGTGTACCAATCTTCTGATGGCTACTTCCAGCAGGATAATGCGCCATGTTATAAAGTGAATCATCTCAGAATCATTTCTTGAAACTTTTCCACTTAAGTAATTGTGAATTGAGCATATTGACAGACAACATTTTATTTTTTATCTTAAATGCAAATTTTTAAAAAAAATAATTACTGCTCTAAATGTATTGCTCTGTCAGCTAAAGATCTGTTTTGGTCTCTATACTTTAATTAAATAAATCAATTCAAGCTAAAATGTAAGAGGCTATACTGAGCCTGATCTTTTTGTATCAGAGATTTTCTTACCTTTTAGAAAGATGTCACTTGGGGTAAAAACCCCCCTGCAACCCTGGTTTGCATTTGTATAGCTCACAGCATGTTCATTTACATGTTAAAGCCTCCCCTAGAATTCCATGGTGGGGAGGCTTGGGGGGAACACTGCCTAAGAAATTCCACGTCAATTTCTGACAATTTACGGGAGTTTTTCGG